TGAATGAGGGTCTTATAAATAAAGGAAGTCGAAAGGATACAAAATTAGTCAATGACAACGCAACAAGCATAGAAGACACGATAAAACAGGCTGCAGCAATTACAGAGGGTGAAACTTTTGAAATGGTCTAACAATTTCAAATACACTGAATTGGAACCGTGGGTATAGACTTGGGAAAATATGAGATTTGATCAAATTAGCGGGTAGGACTCCCACTAGAGTCTCCGATATGAAAGTCAAATCCTTGATACAATCTTTTGGTTGCACCAGTGATAAGACAATCCTGTTAGCCATTTTTTATGTTTCTTTCCCGAGTACAAGGATATTATTGACAAGAATCTAGTGAAGGAACAGGTTGCATAAACATGGGGATTTCGTTAGTTCCCTGAATTCAACTTTAAGATCTCTAATCCCCAAGAATTTAGGAGCTACAGAGCTAAATCAGACTGATCAGTCGAGTGAGGACTGGTTTGCAAGATTTTGGCTAAGGTCCCCATCCCCAGATTGAACAAAGTGCAGGTCAAGGCAATTGGAAGTCCCAAAATGCCTCTGTAGAAGGAAAAGGGCAACAAGATGCTAACTTCAATAGCCAATATAGTGGCGGACAGCTGTCTAAGATATCCGAAGAAAGCAGTTTTGTGCAAGTAGGACATGAAGTAGAGCATGCTCAGCATTAGCAAATGATACTGGCTCTCATACAATTCATGATAACTAAAAGCAATCCACAGTCAAACAGAGGACATAGCCTTACTTCGGGATTCAAGTCGTTGACTTTCTCAATCGCATCCTCAACATTCCCACACTGCACCGCTTTCTTAACAGCCATGCGGTCGGTGATCGTCGCAAGATCAATATCTGCTGTAATCAATAAGGACACACACAATTCGCATAACTCACAATACCACCACACCGCGAATCAAGGAAAACCCAACTCGAATTGCGCAAAAACTGATAAGATTGGGATACGTTCAGTCCCCGACTCCATCCGGAACTTCTCGGCGGCGTCAACATAGCCCTCGGTGACGAGGAAGTTCATCACCAACTTGTTCATGTCTTCCTTCCTGATCTTCACATCGTTAAGCTTCTTCTCCCAATCGTCCTTGGTAATCACCTTCTTCGACTGCGCAACCCAAAAGAAAAGAAAAGAAACGAAACCCAGATCAGATTAAGCTCGAACGACATCGAGATGGCCCAGAAATGCGATCCAAGATCGCCAGAGATCTGCTCCAACACGCAAAGTGGAAAAAACCCAAAACCATAAAAAAGGAAAGAACAAGAAAAAGAAGCAGACTTTCACCATGGGAGAGTATCGAGATCGGAGGCTAAAAAGACTAGGGGAACAGAATTTCAAGGAAGAAAACGAGAACAACCCTCATAATCAACTTCACCAAGAACGTTACTTGTGCCATTCTTTCTCAAGGCCGATGATGCATGACGCTTGACGCGACGCGGAATCTTGCCATCCGAAACCCAGATCCCACTCCAATCGTTTTCTTCAAAACTTCGCCAAAAATTCTTGCTTCGCAGGTGGAAGAAGCTGATCTGCAGAGAGAGAGAGAGTTTAGGGTTCGTTCTTGCACTGTTTCGATGGGCCCGTTTTGATTTGGGCTCGTGTGGGCTCCAGCCTGTGTCTCCCATGTTGATCCTAACGTTACCCTATAACAAATGATTCTTAGGTTAAATTACAAACTTAGATCAAATATGCAATGTGATCCTTAAAATTTAGCTTAATATATAATGCCATCCTTGAAATTTTAATTTATTTAATATGGTCCCTGAACTTACGGTAAATGTTCAATCTAGTCCCTCATTCAGGGACTAGATTGAATCCAATGACTAAATTGAATATGTACCAAAAGTTCCGGGATGATATTGAATCCATGGATTAGATTGAACTTTTACCATAAGTTAAGGAACCACATTGAACAAATTAAAAGCCCAGAGATGACACTGCACATTGGGCTAAAGTTTAGGAACCGCATTGAACAAATTAAAAGTTGAGGGACCATATTGCATATTGGGCCTAATTTTCCCTAATTCTCAAACAAAAATATGCTTCATTACATTTAATTTAATTTTTGTATAATTGAACTTGAAAATTCAAATTACTGTAAGTCACTTTATAAAGTCTCAAATGATAACTTCTCCATTATGACTAAACTAAAGTGAATATCATGATATTTGTCTCGATGATTATTCCAAAATTTATAAAACTTCCTACGAATTATTTTGATTGGAAAAACACAGTAGCAAAAGATAATTCTAGATTTTTTTTGTAATATGTAATAAACGCTCTTTTCTTATAATAAAAGCTTCATTTATTTTGTAGTACAACTTTCTTACAAAAACAAAATAGTGAAGTATGATTTGATAATCTTCTCATAGCCTACTTTATCTAAATGAGAATGGGAGTATTTTGTCTTATTGCATGATGCTAGGTTGAAAATATTTTCCATATTCACCAAATACTTAAAAATATACTCAAAATCTTTATATCTTTGAACATTTTCATACTCTTCAAAATATGTGGTAAGATAAAAGAGTTTTCACATGAGAACAAAAGAAAGATTAAAGTTGAATTAACTCTATCATAACTTCACAACATAAATGCAAATTATACGTATCATTCCTCTATATAAGTACTATATTTTCCGCTTAAAATCTACATGTTCATATTGATGTAGACATAACTCTAAGCGAGCTTCTTAGTGCATGTTTCATTACCCCATATTTTTCTTTATAAGTCTTTGCAAAAAAATATTTATCGTATTCAGAGAGAGGAGACTCTCAAGTTGTTATATTCGCATCTCATCATGTAATTAGATTCAGGCATAAAACATTTTTGAGAAAATACAAAGACCGCTCACACTCCAGGTCGGGGTCGGGTTGTTAGTCGCCCTATAAAATGGCGATTTTTCCTTAATAACATTTTCAATTTACATGCCGAGCCCACATATAGATTTTTAAAAATTGGATTTTTGTATATTATGCCAAACCTGGGGTAGAAAATGTTAGGATTCGGCACACAATCACAAGGAAATAGAGAATAGAAAAGAGAAAAAAAAATCGAGACACAATGTTTTTTATCTTGGTTCATCCTTAAATTATGGCTATGTCCAACAGAAAATTTCACTATAATTAGCACCTCGCATCAGAGAAAGAGAATATATATAAGTAACAGTAACTATTAGTGGGACACAGTGCACTCCTATCGAAGGAGAGTACAAACCACACGCCAACAAAAAAGACTAAAAATCTTAAATTAGTCTTTTTGGATTGGTACCAAAAGGTTTTGGGCAAGGTGCTATGATCATTACAATGGGTTAACATGTATTGCCTTTTTGCGATTGCAATTTTTTCGATTTCGATTTCGATTACTAAAGTGGTACGTAATATAACTATTCGCTTTTAAGTTTAAACAAACTTAGTTTTGAATATAGTGTCAAATGGTTCCCATGAAAAGGAAAAGCCATCAAGTTTAGACAACTTAATTGGAAAAAAATTCGCGCAAAAGCAACGAAGCTGTAAAGCCTTGGTCCACAAAAAGGCTATGTTCTTCACTTCCGCTTCGCTCCGCATGGTTAGTATATACGTACCAAAAACTTAAATGTGTGTATAATTTGTTAGCTACACGAAGGTAGAAGCCCTAACAGAACACCAAAGCTTTCTAGTTGCAGAGTCATCAAACCGACGCTAACCCGACCGTTGCCACCCGCCACTACTGTGATAGCCGTCGCCCCTCCACTAGTGGATCCGTCAACCATGGCCCCTCCACCACCGTAATAACCCTTTACAAAGTCACATACTTAAATATCACTAGGGGTGAGCATAGTTTCAGGGAAGAACTTGGAACCTCACCGGTGGAAACCTGTAGGTTGTAGGTTCCAAGGTATATATATATGGTAGGTTCCAGATTTAAACAATCGGAGAATCTGTTTTGACGGGTAAGTTCCAGGTTCTAGGTCGGTGGAACTTGAAACCTGAAACCTTAAATAAGTTTTTTGTGTTTTTTCTTTGTCTACGTCTTCGCGTGATTCTACGGTGTTCCATGGCGTTAGATAATGAATATATAATCTGGAACCACTAGTCTGAGCTTTCATTTAATGACTTGTTAATATTTCATATTCTTTGTGTCTCTAAATATAAGTTGTGATCAGTGGATCGTAGTAACAAATGGTGGTTATTAAATATGATGATTCACTGCAATTGTTCTTTTTATAATATAAGACGAACTTAAGTAGACTCGGGAACCAGTGATAAGGTAAGTTTCATATTTCAAGATATATATGATAGGTTCCAGGTTCCAAAAATTGAGGAACCTGTTCCCATGGACAGGTTTCAGGTTCTAGGTGGAACCTGTACGGAACCTGAAACCGTTCTCCCCTAAATATCACGGCTCCAAAAGCTAATCTTTTAGAAATTTTCCCAGTTTAAAAATTTCAATGATAAAGTTGTAATTTGTTGAAGATATCAAATAATTCAATCAAACCATTTATCATCTCAATATCTATAATAATATTAAGAAATGGAATTTGAAGAGGTCACAAGGCTGTCATTGATCAATGGTCGTGTTGTCTAGATGTTCTTGGGAGAGAGAAGGGGGAATTGAATAGAGAGAGTTGACGAAAGAGACAAGGACGACTATAGTAGTAACTAGAGTTGGCAAATGGGTGGGTTGGGTATGAGTGAGTCATAAATAGCTTCAACCCAAATTCACCCATTTAATTCACATTAACCAATTTATTTCCTAAAGACCCGTTACCCAACTCACACCCACCCACATAACTCACATTTTTTTAACTATGTCAATCAAGCAATTAGCGAATTCAAAATAATAAAAATCAATAAACAACATATATAGAATCGCTCTTCCTCCGCAAGGTATGAAATAGGCATCGTCGCCCCTTCCTCCATCGTGGCTCCTTCGACGCTGTGACTACTCGCGCTCACAGAGCTCGAATTAAGCTGTCTGACTTATTGAATCTGGATCCAACAAGGTAATGGGAGCAAGCAGCAATTCGAACCCAGTCGTCTCTGACAAGCACCAAAACTGGAGCATCCGCCACGACAAGAAGTACTGCCTCGCCATCGCCAACCTACTTGACGACCCCACTGCCATCATCAATTGCGTCGAGATCGTGCGACTCAACCACTCCACCGGCGTGATCAGAGTCGATCCTAACCTCTCCTTTGACCACCCCTACCCCCACCAAGGCCGCTTTCTTCCCCAACAAGGACTTCCAGCGTGCCGATCTCCTTGTCATCTCCAGCGACCCGCATCCAACGGATCATCCCGCGTCGAACTCCGCTCCTCCCTCAACGGCAACGAGAACAATGATTTCTACTGGCCCCTCACCTCCTTCACCTGGAATGAGGCCGAGCCCAAGAGCATTAGCACCTCTACAATTGACACCACCTGCACCATCTAGGACATTGGGTGCGAGACCGTCGACACCCAGCTCAACGCCCACTAGAAGAAGGCATTCAGCTGCTCCTTTGACTTCCAAAGAATCGAATGAAAAGAGCAAAGAGGGAGAGAGAAGAGAGTTTGAGCCTCAATTTAGGTGGGTTGGAAATGTGTTCATTTGAGAACCCATTTAAACCTATTTATTTTAGGCTTTTCATTTTAGAACCCATATTACTAGGTCTTTCAAAATAAAGGTGATTCATTTAAACAATTTTGGGTTAATAAATGGGTTTAAGACCTATTTTGACAAGTCTATAAGTAGCGGATGTGGTGCCCATCGGTGGGGCATCATTAGAGGTAATAGCGTTGGAGTGGCGGTTGCAATAATCCGCGGCTATGATGAGGGCAGGGAGTGATCTATGGTCAAAGGCAAAAGGGATATGAATGAATCAAATACGCAACGGACAAGAGGAGAGTGTGCAAGCTGGGTTAATTATGTGGAATTTGAATTAACTCACAAGATGTGGTTTTAGTTTAGCAATTTAATCTAGAATTGAAAATGTAAGGCAGACTAAACATAGAGAGAGAGAGAGAGAGAGAGAGAGAGAGAGAGAGAGAGAGAGAGAGAGAGAGTAACGGTGACCTGTTTGTTTGCATTGCTGTGGTGGCGTGCTCCACAGATGCGTTTTTTATTTTAACATGCTGATATCCGTACGCCTCGCCCCTAATTCTCCCTGTATATTTTTTCTTTCTCAGGGAGAGGGAATATCCTCTTGTTATGTAACGTTCAAGTGATGCCGAGGTCTGTATGTGACCCTGACAAAGCACTTTAACCTCTTGCTTAGGAGGAATCTAGCATTGAAAATGCATGGGTAATGTTTATTAATCAAACAACATTTGGGTCGAAGAAATTTCCTCCAATAAAAACAGAGAAAAAGACAGCCCTTCACAAAAGCAGAAGAGAGAAAGCTCCCTAAATTCAACAATCCCAACTCTAAGCCAAGAAAAATAGAGAAACAGTAATAGTGAATCGGTTTCCTTTTGTTACCTTCGAAGATTGATGCATGGAAAAACATGCAAGCTGGTTTCGGTTCAATCATCGATTCGGACATGCCACACAAAACCCAAAAACAAAATCTTTCAAAAAGCTTCTGATTAGCTCATTTGACGTCAAACATCGATGATGCACGTGAAGTCGTCACTTCGTGGCGTCCAAGATTTTACTGAAACCCGACATCAATCGAACTTTCAGTACGATTATGTTTTTTAATCTTCGATGGCTAATTAAAGCAACTACGATCGATCTTTCCCATTCGGTAAAGTTGTTTCACATTGCCTAAAAGGTACGATTCCCAGAACTCCACTTGACTATAGCTAATAAACTATATAAAAGGTATATTCTCGTATCGCTTTGTAATATAAAAGGGACAACACTTTGTAAATAATTACTTCTTAATCATAGGATGGACCAACCAATATGTTGACTTCCTTTACGTGATGCACGTGTTTGAGGTTCAAAACGAAATCTCATTTAATATTTGCACGTTTGATTCAACGCGTCCAAAGGAGAAACCACATGATACCATTTTTAATAATGTCTAATCATGCCGTGACGAACGCTATTGTTTGAATAATGGTCAAGGGAATCATATGAAACGACGATGTTCATAAGCTGCTACTACAATTTAAAAGCCTATAGGTTATATGGTGCAACTATTGGCTGGTCAAAAGTATATTAATTTCTTCTCGCTATTAAAGTATCTCACGTTACTTGTTTATGGTATTTATACGTTCTTTATATACATGCAATCTCCCTCGACTTATTAGCTGAAGTTTTTAGATTGTGTCGTTTAACACTCAGGTCTAAACTTCACAATATAGATTTGATTTTATCTCTTCACTTCACTTTCAAGCATGGTTATAATAAAAACGTACTAGGGAAGAACATATCTTTAGAAGACAAAATTTCGATCATTATTGTAGTCAATCTCGAATGCCAATCAACACGTTTAATAACATCTCGAGAGAGCTCATAATAATGTGAACTTAAGCATCGAATAAAGCAAGTCATTTTCACTTGTAAACTGGCTTTTGCGACCTTTGGTCCGAGATAGTGTTACTCGGTTTTGTTCAAGAAGTCAAAGTGGAGATTGCTAAAAGGTAGGGAGTCCACTTAAATCACTTAGTAAATTAGATTAGTTGTGTAAACACATTTAAGCAAGGATAAGGACATTCAAAACAATATGACTAACTAGTTAATTAATTAATCCTAGAATAAGATGATGTAGTTAATGCGTTAACATGATTCATTCTACTAGTCGAATAATTGGATATCTATGCGTTCATACGATAGATTTCGCATGAGAGAGACTCCACTAATTGCGTGCAACTGATAACTGAAAAAATACTTTCTTCAAATGCGTTGTTATTGAGATCATTGCTAATTGTTCTAAAGCGCGTTCTTATATTTAAAATTACACATAATTTGGGTGGGAAAATAGAGGTCCGAAAAGATTTGAATTCAGAGTTTCCTACTTTGATAATATGTAAAATTTTGTAGAATCACTGCCAACTGTTCTAAAAATTTAAATTGTTAGATGATGGTTTGATTTAATATTTAAATATTCTAGTAATTACCATGTGACTTCGCGGTCCGTAGGCCAAAATATTATCAGATTTTAGTGTACATTTGATAAATGAAAGAAGTGGTGTGTGAGCAAAGCGGAAGAGAGAGTTGAGTTATGGTGCGTTTTGTAACCATTCTGTTCCAAGAAATAATTTCTGCTCAGAAATTATTTTTTTTATTTTATTCTAGGAAATAATTTCTGAGCATTTGAAGGCATTTGGTAACAGCCCAAAATTTCTATTCCTGAAATAGAAAAAGAACAAAAATGCGTTTGGTAACTGCACAAAATTTCTTTTTATTAATAATAATTTAAATATTTATTTATTTATTTTCTTTTTTTCTTCTTCTCCTTCTTTGGCCCATTGCTGGCGAGGGTGAGGGCTGCCTCGCTCAGGCTGCGAGGGTCCAGCCCGCGAGGGTCCAGCCCTCGCCCTTGCCGGCGAGGGTCGCGACGCCCTTGCCCGCCACTGACCAGGAAAGAAGCAAAAGAAAAAAAAAATCTCTTCTATTTATGATTCTTGTTCCCAGAATTAAGAATCAACTTTTTTTTTATTTTTGATTCTATTCCAAAACTGATTCTGGGAACAAATTTGTGCCCGGGAACAAAAAATTTACCAAACTAATTTCTGTTCTTTTTTTGTTTCGGGAAACAAAAGAATAAAATTAAGCACTGTTTGGCCAGTTACCAAACATGCCCTTAATGTCTAAAATGGTATTTCGATTCCAAGAATGACTTTGAATTTAAGTCCTACAAACATGGACGGCCAAAAAGAAAAAAACAAAGGAAAGAAAAACAGAAAGAAAAGGGAAGGGCTCCTATTTGAATAGTCTTAAAGTAGAGAGAGATCCTCAATAAAATCGTCAAAATGAAAAATCATCAAAATAAAAGATTTTTTTGGTCTTTTTGCTTATCATACAAAGCCATAGAAATTTTATTTTTCCAAGCATAAGATATGTGAAATCCCGCTCTAAGCAAAATTCAGATGCTAACATGTATATAGTTTCCATGTTTTTTTTATTTTTATAAATGAATTCATTTCATTACTAGATTGAAATTTCCATTTCACGACTGCCGGTGAAAAAAGTGTTCTACACTAGCAATTTACCTTATCTAAATCCACATAGATTTTCATTTTCTGACTTTTTGCAAGAAAAAAGTATAGAACCTTCATTTCCTTTTGAATTCCTAATGTGTTGAAATTGTAAGGACACTAGGGGGGCAACTTGTTAAATAGCAAATTCCTAAAATTTTAAATGTACACTTGCATGTGGAGACTGTACGCAATTAAACATCCTATTTAAAAAATGGTAAGATAATTTCCTTAATTGCAACGAAAACTAACTAAACTTATATTCGTTTATATGAAACTTGTTGCATGAACCTGACCTAACCAATCGACATTTAGATTTTATAATGAATATGTTTTTGTGGAGTTTAACGAAAGACTCACATTCCAATTGGTTCCTCAAGCGACGATTGAATCTTCGTTTTACCTTTGAAATTGATTTTGGAAGAATTTTTTCAACTTGAAGCATGTGCGCATAACGCAATCTCCAAGTTAGAAAAGTGGTACGTACGCCTCAAGGAAGCCCTCCAAGGAGTTTTATTGAATATATTGAATCTTTCCTCCGAATAAGCAAACCTGTGTTAAACTAAAATATAACCTAATCAAAGCGGAAAATTGTTTAATTACCAATTAATTGTTTTTGTTAAGATTGGCATTGTAATTATTACTAATTCTTTTTGTTTATCACTAGATCATCATGTAACTATTTTGTGAGAACGATGTTATGAATTGCTTATTTTCATCTATATTAAGCACCTCTTTCGTGACATGGTTTCGGCATTTATACTTAGGCTCCGTTTGTTTCGCGGAAAATGAATGATTTGGGATACATTTTCCAAATACAAATAGTATCATAAGTGATTGGATCATTTACATAATATATGATATATAAGTGATATCTCCATAATATTTGCAAAATGTCTTTAACACTTCCCTTCAAACTAAGTCAATATTGTAAATTAACTTGAGTTTGGAGATAATATCAAATAATCACCCAAAATTTGCAAAACTTTCGGGTATATACTACCCCAAACCCATTAGAAGCTAGTGCGTCGATATTAATTTTTCTAGTATACAATGTGGGTATGCAATAACACCGTTTGAAAAGCAAGTACTGTCCAAATGAGCTTTCTGATAGATGGTGCGGATATGTCATAATTAACATCGTTTGAAAGCGACCATGGTTCGGATTAGCTTTCAGGGAGACAATTCAAAACGTCGAAACACTATTTGAAAAGCATGCGATGAAGGGAGTCTTGTTATGACAAGTGCATGACAAGGACCCCCGATTGGTAGTGTTGGGGCCAATGCACGTGGTGAGGCTATCTGGCCAATATGGAGTGTTGCGAAAAAGAAGAAAAAACATCGAAAGAGAAACCAAATCGAGGTTTCTATCTTGCCAACATGAAGTCTTGCGAAATTGCCGCCGTATCACACTAGCTTTAGAGAACTTGATTGTCCCAAAGAAGAAGGTGGAAGAATGACATGAGGGAAAATGGCACAAGTTAGAGGATGAAAATTAGGATTGAACCTTTATTACATCAACTGGTGAGAAGAAGAAGAAGATCACAAACAAAGAAAAAATGTGGAAGGTTCCATGAATTAGAACACGAATGTGTTATAATTCATGATCCTATACCATAGCTGCTAACTTATTTGTGATTTTCTACGAACAAATTAATCAAATTGAAAGATAACATAATACAAAACCCCCCATCAAAGACAAACCAAGACGCCTCCCAATCTACAATTGGTTAATATGATTTTCTTCTCAGTATCTTGTACAAGTTATGCTCGCGCTGGCTTGGAGGTTCTCCACTAATTCTCGTTTGGCCAGTCTTGATTCGCCTCCATCAGGCTCTTGATGATAGCTTCAGAAGCATTCCTCAGGAGCTCTGACCAATCCCTGCAAGGGAACATATATGTTAGAATCTTATCTGCAACATATGCAAAACATAAATTTAAATCACATTAATTTGGTACACAAGATTGAATGTATTTGGAGTGAGTGTTTTGAGGTTAATCAAAGCTAATGTAGTAGTTCATAAGGAAGGAGGGAGTTTGATTCTAGAGCCTCATTTCATGATCTTTTGCTAGAAATTATCAGAGTCAAACTGTTTTACTTGTGGTTTTTGACTTGGCGTCAATTTGACCCCCTTTTTTTGAATTTAATGGGTCACTTGACCCCTTTAACTTTGTGTTATTCTCTCTTAGCATATAATTCCTTTTTCCAAATAAACATTTTGCAGTGAAAATTGACCTAATGAGAGGAATGTTTAAGTAATCTAGTTATTAGTTGTGGACTTATACTTGTTCGTGCATTGCATTGCTAATTTAAAGAGATTGGTTTCTAGAGACGATGCTATCATAATGATATGTATGGTATCTAAGTTCAAAAATCAACTTTATTTCCCGGTTAAAACGTCTGTATTTTTGTAGAAATTAATGTAAGAATAAAAAATTTATCATGATATTTCTTGTTAGAGGGTAATCAATTGGCTTCAAATTGAGCTAAGTAAATGAAGATAGATGAGATGTGTATACCCCATCGAAGAGTCAAAAGTGATTCCCACAATGTTCTTGGCTACTTCAATTGCCGAATTAAACCTCTCAATCTCCTTCTCCGAACAAGTTCCATTATAAAGAGCTCCATTGTCAAGAGCTCGAAGCTGAGAAGGCTTCACATCACAAAAGATGGGTATGACCTTCTTCTTGGTGTCCATCATTAGGGCGAGCTCGTGTAAGCAAAAGTATGACTCACAGTACCGGGGGGAGAACAGGGCGACCCCGATCGTGCAGTCGAGGATCGCCGAGTCGATCTTGTCGAACAGATAGTCCCCGGGCCGCATGCTCCTACTGTCCAAAAAGGGACGGAGGTCGAGCCTCGTCAGGTAGTCGTGCAACAGCCCGGCAACGGTCCGCCGGGTGTCGATCCGGCGGTGGTTGATGAACACGTCGTAGGACGGCCGGCAGACGGCCTGGACCGGGTTCTTAAACCGGATGACGCCCGGGAACAAGCTCTTGGAGAGGGCTAGCGAACGTTGCACGGCACTCATCCTTGATCAAGAAGATGGTGATGATGATGAGAGAGGGCGATCAAAGGTTCTTTTCGATCTCGTTCTTCTCTGTCGATGTTTGCAGGTGCCGTTGCTGAGGTTGTTAAGCGAGTTTATATAAGGTTGATGGGGGTACGACTGAAGACCCGAAAAGGGTGTTGGTTTCGGTTTGACTCTTGACAGAAGAATTCCACCATTTCTCACTCATCAGATCAAACCCTCAAGAAAGTACTCGGCAAGGTACCGCTTTTACGTTCCAAAGTGCTGCATTCTTGCTTTTGAATTTCATTTGGACTTTCTAGGGCTTACGTGGAACGGCGCAAGGAAACCTTCAAACACGGTTTTCTCCCCTCTCCCTCCTCCCGGGGTTGGACCGGGCTGACGTGGACTTGTCGGGCGTTTGTTTAGCAGTTTTTACGGTTGATCCCATCGAACGGTCAATTCCCTCGATTTGACGTTGATCGCCATTGCGGCGTTTGTCTCTTGTGTGAAACTAGGGTTTTGCTGAGACCTGTGCATACACAAGCCATGACATGAGTGGTTTTGTCGGGTTCAAGGTTTAACTTTTGGAGAAATTCATGGATAATTTCGCAATAACATTCTTTATGCTTCTTTGTCGGATGGTCATGACTCACGACCCCGCGTTTATTATGTGAAAGCACATTAGAGTGCTCCACCAATAGTTTGTTTTCTTTCTCTTTATTTATTAATTTATTATCATAATTTTTGGGGGTATAATTCGTTTTTCAGACTTGAAAGCTCACCTTCACTATACTCCATCTCCTTTATTAAAGTTCCTAGTTAGTGTGCAAGCCATTTAATGGAAATGGGGACAACTACAAAAAAAAGTCATGAACATATTATACGGATGTCGATTTAGTCGTAAACTTTTTAATTTGACCAATTTAGTCATAAACATTTTAACAATTAGCCAACGTAGTCTTTCCGATCAATTTTAGCCGAAAATCAATACGTGGATACCGGCTATTATATGTGACACGGTTAGCGCTGACGACCTCGCCGGCCATCTCTGAGGGCTGAGGACACGCGGAGGAAGAAGCAAAATAAGAAAGAAATAAAAGAAAATATGAAAAAATTTCAAAAAAAATGCAAAAAATTGTTCATGTTAGCGCCAGTCATGCCATGTCAGACGGCCGAAATCCACTTCAGCAATTCCCGACCAAAATTGGCTAGAAAGACTACATTGGCAAATCATCAAAAGATTTAAGACTAAATCGGCTAAATTAAAAGGTTGAGTAGTGAATTGGCATCGATAAAATATGTTTATGATTTTTTTGATAATTTTCCCGATGGAAATGTGATGCAAAGTGTGGGTTTTCTTAAAGGATATTTCGAACCTGAACATGTCCTTAAAATACTCAATCTTGATTCTCGTCAAGACCTCTAGATCACCGGGATGTAAAACTTCTATAGGATATTTCCTCTCCTAGGGGAAACAAAAATAGAGGGGAAATTAAGGGTGCAAGACGAGCGAGTATCGGCACGTTAAAATAAAAAATGCATCCATGGAGCTTGCTTGGTTACAGGAAGGCCACGGAGGCCCTTATACATAACACCAAGGTTCCAAGGATCACATTTCCCGATGGAAATCTAATGCAAAGTGTGAGTTTCCTTAAAGGATATCAATTTATTTCATCAAAGGTAAGAACCAATTGAAATATTCACTTGATATATATGACTATTCACAACGGATAACAAAGTCTTGGAGAGAGTATCATTCGAAGGGTCTGATCCATCTAACATTAGAAATACTTACTTCACAATGGTTTTTGTTTGCCTAGTTATTTCACAATGGTTAAAAGAGAGGATATTTTCCGACCAAAAAAACAAGAGAGGATATTTCCCTTTAGTGAATATATTTCCTCAGCTCCTCTTTCCTTCCTTACAATAGGCGTCCGCTTGCATGCTTGGTTTATAATATCATCAAGAAGATAAAAGCGTGATCAAGTATGTGAGAGGATTAGGCACTTAGTACATGCGAGTCCTCACATTATCGAGTGCAAAATATTTCATGTTCGAATCTCTCATCTGAATTTTCATTCACATCTTTCCAAGACGCTGAGATTAGCAGATGGTATCGGAATTGACCTCCGACATTTGTCTTTCTCATAGTACTCAAATTCTATCAAGCAATCACTTAAGGAGCAACCTAATAGATTTTCAATAATGCCATCATGCGTTTCGATAGAGAAGTAAACTTGTTTAGATAAGAATATGCGAGAGAGAATTGTGTAATTCTTGTATAGTCAATAATGAAGAGTACACGAGTTATTATGGTTTTGACAACATATTATAATATTAATTATAAACATGTTTTACCATGCCTCTGAAAAAACATGTCAATATTAATTATAAACATGTTTTACCATGTCAATAATGGTTTTGCCATCATAATGGTAGGAAAATATAATCCCAGACAATGTTTTACACTAGTGCATGCCTCTGAAAAAACATGGATATGTCATGAACTTTTTTCCAATGATAAAGTAATCGAAATCAAAATGAAGTGGTTTGAATGCCAGTACAATGGAAATTGAAATGACACGATGGATGGCATTAACTAGGAATCAACTTATTGAACATCTCTCTGACAAATGGAAAAATGAACTTGAAATCAAACGCATCCACCCCTTTGATACAAGCATTGGAATGAAAATGGTCGAACTAGAAGTTCTTGCTTCCGTCATATGTCTGCCCAAATTGCCATCCAGCAGGCGCTACATTATCAAATTCTACCGTCGTCCCATCACTCACAGTGACTTGGAATGACAAACTTTGCCCCGTCAAAACAATTCTAGTCTGCCAGTTTTGCCCCCAGTTACGAGTCATAGTAATCCATTGGGTGTTTGAGCCCTTGATCTTCAAGGCATTCACATCGCCGGCGCCACCGACGTTATAGATTAGCACAAGGGTCCAGTACTGATTTCCCTTAATCTCAAACTTGACTCCTCCTTGCTTGGAACACAAGACGCGGCGATAGCGGACGGGAATGACACCGGCCTTATAATACGCTATTTTTGTGAACATGGGCATAGACAGGTCGAAATGCTTTTGCGGAGGGTTGCACCAGATGTCCTCTGTCTTAGAGTAATTTGGAGGGCAAAAGTTTGTTGCAGTGACTATGATCGAACCGGCATTCGGGATGCACCACTCCGGGTCGTTGGTACAATAGATCTCAAAACAAGCACCGCAACTAAGTCCGTCATTGAAAAGGGCTGTGCTTAGCGCTGCCGTCGCTAGTCCATACCCTTGTTTTTTGAGATCTCCATATCCACAAGCTCCCTCTGCAGGTAATGACCATGAACGAGAAACAAATCAATAAACATCAGTGACATAAAATAGCCTAATTACCCATCTATATTTAGGTCCTCACAAAGGAGTACAAGAAATAAGAATAGGGCAAGGCTCCTCTATCTTTCTCCTTGCCAAGAGATTTCACTTACGCATGGTTTCTTGACCACTCATGTCACCGTAAAAAGTTGCACGCGCATCGTACCAATTACTGTCTATAGCAGAAACGACCACCGCCATAGCTAACACTAGAAAGATCTTGTAAACAGCCATGGCAAACAGAGATAAAGAAGGTAAAACGTTGAAACAAGCTAAAGAAGAAGTACATGAAACAATGAAGAGATTGCCAGTGATTTATACTCATCACATTTGCCCACTTTTGGTATTATGGACTTCAAAAGGTAACAGACACAAAACTTGCCAAAGATGGATTATAAGGGATGATATCCAATCTCGTACTGGTTTTTCACAATTTTTGGTAAGTACAGGAAAGATCTTGCGATTACTTCTGCAAATATTTGGTTTTCAGAAACCCTAGATGGAGTTTACAGCTTTCTTAATTAAAGATGTGTTTTGGTGGCATAGCTTGAAAGACGAGAATGTGTAAATCCATAGAATATATTATTTGTGTCGTGAATATTTACTTTCCTCCTTGCGTTGATAATTATATATAACTTTTTTTTTATTTTTTGAAGTTAAAATTTGCTGTTCAGATTCTCATAGATTTTTTCCTAGGAGGACATCACTAAATTTGTTTTCACAGTATAACATCCATTGGAACTAATACTCTTCCATGGTTGTTTTCTCCGGTTGCCCACCCCTTGCAAAATGAAACATGCGACTCTCCTCGCTCCGTTTCTAGAAGAAAATGATGGCTCCGTTACGCTAGAATGGTCCTAAGTTAAACCCTCTGAAAATTTGAGAAACCATTAATGTGTGAATAATTTTCTATAAGAGAACATCCTCACAATTACATACAGGCATATTGCAAATTTGTTAAAATGGCAAGAAGAGAGATAGAACAAGGGTCTGGATTCATCTAACATTAGAAACACTTTTTTCAGGGAAATTGTCCAAAAAGTCCTAAATCTATTGTACGGCGGCCAATTCAATCCTAAAATTTTCAGTTATACCAATTTAGTCCTAAACCTTTTAACAACTTGCCAATTTAGTCCAAAACTTTTCAATTGTGCCAATTTAGTCCTATAACTTTTGATGATTTGTCAATTTAATCCTAAACCTTTTAACTATTTGCCAAATTAAGCTCGGAAGTCACTAACGTGGCAGTCTAGTCCATGCTCGCCGTACTATATGGCACGGCTAGTACGGACGTGGACAATTTTTATATTTTTCATGATTTTTTTTTTTAAATAATTTTTTTCCTTTTCTTTCTTGTTATACTCTATAACTCTTATGCCGAAAATTACACGTACTTCTGATATCGAGCTTTTCAAATCTTTAAATACGTGTGCTTTTAGAAACCTAGCTAGTTTCCAGTTTCTTGCTTATACTATGTACGTCAGACACTACAGATATACCATAAAAAGTCACTCCAAATACACCATAACAGATCTCACTTCATGCAGAAAGCTCGCAGGCTACGTGGTATATATACTGCTAGACGTGCGATCTTTAAACCTATAGAGGTTTGAGTGGATGTCACATACACATGATCGATCAGAATCTGTGCGTGTTTTAGCTATAACCCATCTTCCTGACAGCGAAAGACGCTTGAGCAGCAGCTATTCAGATGGCTCGACAATTACATCGCAAAAGCGCTCTCAACTCCATTGTTGATTCTGTCCACCCGACCACATCTTCGACGCCTTCGTTTCTTATGTTGAAAACGAAAGAGTTTATCACGTGAGAGTAGTATGTAGTACGAAATACGTGGTCTCTTGTTTGACTCCAAGAAAAATCATGCAGCACACTTGGGAAATGAAGCCTTGGTTACGCTCGAACGACTCGTAGACTCGTCCTCTGGGCCGACTTTTGTCTTGGGGCACTCGCTTTTATATCAAGAAAACTAAGACTTTGGGTCAAATATACAAAAAAAAAAAAATCACCTAAAACATGTGTTTGATGCGAGATTAGGGTTAAGCTTGCAATTATTGTACATAGATTTAGACTAGCAAAGTAAACTCTTAATTCCTTATCGGGAAGAGGTCTATTTGACCCGATAAACAAGATCACTTACTTCATACTTTTTGAAGGTTCGGGCGTAACTTATAAGTTACTCTCACGCATTCTCTTGGATCGAGTATTTTTGAAATATAAAGTAAAGGGAAGGTGTATTGAAATAAATATATGAAATTGTACATATGTTCACAATTGTTTAGTTAAGTTGTTGAGTTTCACAGAATAGTTGTTCTACTATTTAAAAAAAAAAAACCTAAAACAGGTTTTTGATTCGAGATGATGATTTAGCTTGCAATTAATGTACATAAATTTAGAGTAGCACGGTAAACTTTTAACTCCTTATCAGGAAGAGGTCTATTTGACTTGATAGACGAAATCACTTACTTCATAGTTTTTGAAATTTCTGGCGTAACTTATAAGTTACTCTCACGCATTCTCTTCAACCAAGTAGTTATGTAATATATTTCGTGGACGCATTAATTTTGGTCTTTGCTTTCTTCCATTAAGTACACTCAACGTACTTTTATATCGTTCCCTTTGAAAATAAAAATAAAATGTATAAATCAGACAAGAGAATTCGACATAATTAGGGTGAAAAAACTTATTGACTTATTCTTCTTCATCTATTGATTTCTTGATCTTCTTTCATTCTCCATTGGAGATTTGTCCTTATTTGCTCTTAGTTGCAGAATTGCCCTTCACTTCTTTGATGGGTAGAAGAATTTGTTGATCACATTCAAGTTCTAATGAGATCATATACGAGAATCCCCGCTTCCCGAAAAGTGCAGATTCTCGATCTTCTTAGCTCGCAGTTTAGCTGATACTCTCTCAAAGATTTATATATCGTGATCTTCATGCGAATGGGCCGTAAATTTTTGTACCAGTTGGATGCAAAATTTCAGGATAGAAAGAAATTGTTTTACTTCAACAGTTGAATCGCTTCTTGTTCTCTTCTCGGCTTGAAAGCCTCGTCAAGCTCTCTTGAAACAGTCTTCATGAACCACACGTATTCACACCTTCGTTATTTGAGGACTTGCTTTGCATTTCATGTGCGACCGAGCCAATGTTTTTCTGAAACTTCACAGAACCCTTGCGAACTTTCTCTTTTGGGTCAGTCTCCTGGTGTGAAAAGCTGTCCCTTCGTCCACCATTTTGAAGAAGAAGCGTTCCGTCAGCTTTGAAATCGGTCAAACCCTAGCTTGTGTTTGATAAGACAAACGTGACTTTGGACTGTAGGCTTCGAGGGTTTAAACCAGTGCGGCTTAATTTTCTCTTGTCAAAGTGTCTGGAGTAAAACCAGTCACAAATTGAGAATATTAATAAACGAGAAAGCGAAAGGGAATATGCTTGGAGATCAAGGGAATATGTGCCTCAAAAGTCCAAATGAAAGTTGAAACACTAGGGTTTTCGTTCGTCTTTTTGCCACAAACCATACACAGAGAAGTCCTCAAGGAAATTGTCCGACCCAAATTCTCCAGTTTTGGCATGAATTGACTCGATCTTACCGTACCCAAAAGGCCAATTATGTACTTCATACACCAATCACCATATTTCTAGCATTATTCATTTTGAATAATCTACATTTGTGTATTCCTATTTGACTTTCGGCTGTTCTAGACATTTAATATGTGATTAGATGGTACAGTTAGATTGTTAATTACAAAGGGTAATGTCACGAAAGGTCCTTGGAATTTTCTTTGATTGTTCAGTGTCGTCTTTGAGATTTTTTTTTATTCAAGATAGTTCCTCGACTCTTAAATATTTGCTTGACGTAGTACTTTAAAATTAAATGGAGGATACGAGCTTAGTGGCGGTTTACGAATATGATGGTCGCAGTGTCCGAGTTTGGTTCTGGTGCACAAGTCACACGGTGGCGGGGACCCAGCTTCTTGGTGGTTGTCGTGTGTTGTGAGGGGTGGTGGGAGAGTTTGGTGGTGGTGAACGCCACCTTTCACAAAATAACGGCTAGTTATCGGTGTTATAGGATTCACATCAACAAATAACGTTAACTTTACATTGAATTTAAGTTCAAGGTCTAAAATGGAAGGATTCTATTGAGTCATTATCCAGTCATGATATTAAAAAATTGCGAACGGTCCCCAAAACCCAGATCACAATCCCACTTAACTACACTAGCTCGCAAAGAAATGTAAAGGAAAGCTAGGCCTCTATGTAATTTTCAACAATTATTGTTCATTTTGGAGCTTCTACAACGAAGAGATGCTGGTTTATATGAAAGTTTGGGAATGTCCAGAGTGATTTGTGATTTTCCAAATATCCGGATATTGCAGAAGCGTACATAATTCTTTTATAATTTTTGGAAATTGAAGTAAAATTTCTGTATTTCCAAGTCAAGCAAGGAAAGTTTATAAGCAGAAACCAGATGTGACTGGCTATGAAATTAGGATTCTAACGGAAGATATGGGATCTCATCAAAACTTGTATGGCTTCTTGCGTCTAAATCACTTTGATCTTCCATCCACTTTGCCAAAAAAATTAAAGCCCACAAGTCGGAGGCTTGAAAGTCATGACCCGAAAATGGAAATTGAATTGAAGACTGGAGTGTTGATTATCTGTTTTGTTTGTATATTTTGATTAGGCAAATCAAATGTTGTAATTAGCCTGACTAAAGTGTTCATGATCGATAATTTCGCAGATATGGCCAATTAAAATGCTGCTACTCGCATTGATCTTTGTTTGTGTAACAAAATGGAATTGAAGATTCGAATTGATTTTAGAGGGAAAAATATTCAGCCTCTCAAAGTTTTCATTCCATTTTACTTTATCTATGAAATTCAGGCTTCACATGTTTCATGAAGAATTGACTTTGCTTAAAAATGTTATCAAATGAACTTATTTCAAAATCAATTTGAAGTTTTTCATTCCATTTTTCTCTGTTTGGCAGTATTTCAAAAATAATATGTAAGTCGTTTTTTTATGTTTGTTACAGGAAAATTATTAAACACACATTTGAGACAAAGTCTCGAGTACAAATCTCAGATACTGGGTTCGAACGCTGACGACTTAAGCCTGGCCTTCCTCAAGGCCAAGCTAGGGGTCCTAATCCAAGTGTTGAGATCCAGGCATATTTGAAAATGAATTCTAATTTCAAAGGAGCATAATTTAAAAATGCTTTTTTTAAAGGTTGTCTATTATTTCTAAATAAAGTTGCGAAAGAAGCAGTCATGATTGCGCAATCCTCTTAGGCCTCGTTTGGTAAACCGGACATAACTCTGGATAGGATAATTTATATCCTATCCGGTGTTTGGAAAAACACACAAACCAAATATATCAGGATAGGATAAGAATTCGACAAAGAGAAAATCATGTGCAAGTTTTCACCTTGAAGACCAGCACACAACCTCAAATTGGAGGTTGTTGGCCTCAAGGGACTAGATCTGTGGTCGCTTGAGGCTAGCCCTCGACCTCGGTGTTGGATGTGGCCTCTAGGGTCATGGCCAACCCCGGAGGTCGCGATCACAAGCTCGCCTTGTGTCCATCGATAATGGGGTCGTCAATGGGGGACCAACTACAGCAAGATAGCTTGAGATCCCTTCATCTGGGTGATTGGCAAATGACCGTTCTGGGTCAGAGCTGGCCATGCTGTTGAGTGTTGGTTCAGGGAGAGAGAGATTGGCGAATGACTGTATAAGAGGATGAAGGTAGATGAGGATGGAGGTGTACGTGACTTCTGGGCTGTTTGGTGTTGAGTTGATAAACCTTGGCATTGTCGATGAAGGTTAGTAAGAAAAGTGGGTGAAAGGGTTCGCCGTCTCGAGGTTCACCTTTCGAGACCCAATGCCGGGGTAAGTCTCCAGCTATAATTGTGGTTGTGGAAATGAGCTCCTGCTCATCAATGATTTACCCATCTCTACTCGCCGGAGCTTGGACGGTGATCAGGATTGGCGTGCTGTGGAGGATGAATCGGTGGTCTTTGTGAATATCCTTGTCTTGCTTGATTCTCTAGGAGGTTGAGGACTTGCGCCATTAGTTGCTGCAGATTCTCTAGAACACGCTCATGCCTTTCATCATGTACTCATTCCGAAGTCAAGCCTCTAGGAGCCGAATCACTCATCTTTTTTGGAACGCAAGTATAAAGCGGCGAAAGGAAGAACTCACCTAATTAGTTGAACTTGAAAATCCGAGACCAACTTCATGCATGGTGAGATTGCTGAACGCATTTGACGGAACAAAAGTACTTGATGTGTTTGCGAAAAAAATAAATTTGGGATGGAAGAGTTCACCGTTTAAGCACAAAAAAATTCTCCGCTAATTAAGGATAAAGAATTTGAAAGTTCACCATTAACAAATTAAATAAAGAATTGAAGGACTATAAGGTTTACTTGGATAAAGAATCGAAAAAATCACTCGCTTGAGAGAAATTTTCATATATAATAAATTCACAAATCTGCATCTAGACAACTGAGAATGCACCTCTTATTTATAGAGAGACCGGGACACTAAACTAGGAAACATCGAACTAAGAAACATTAAACAAGAAAATTTTAAACTTGGAAATATTAAAATAGAAAAAATCGAATTAACAAAATTTAAACTAGGAAACCTAGTCAAATTAGGCAATGAACTTCAACTAGAAACCTATTCAAATTAGAAAACCTACTAAAAATAACTTGACACCGCTCTTGTTTGTCCCATTGTGTAATAACCAAGTAGACTTCCGCCTCTTATTATAATATTTGTACCTATAATAGGAAATCAATTTTTCGGAAACTTACTCAAATTACAAAACGTACTCGAACTGAGAAACCTAGTTGGACCAAGTTTTATTCGCAAGTTCAAACTCGAGACAATTTCTCATTGGGGTTTAAATGAATGGGCACATACGCATGATTTATTGAAATTTGTGATTTTGGCAAGCTCTTAAACTAGCAAATTTACATGAATAGCGAAAGACGCTTGAACAATCACATCACAATATCACTGTCAGCTCCATTTGAGTTTTGTCCATCCGACCACACCTTCGACATCTTTCATTCCTTGTTGAAAACGAAAGAGTTTTTCCACGTGAGAAGTAGCATGCAGCATGACATTTTGACACAATCAATGATAACGATCCTCTACGTTGTCTATTTCTTTGACTCCAAGAACATTCATGCAAAGAGACATCGTCCACGTGTGACGCCTTGGTTACGCTTGAACGACGACTCGTAGACTCGTCCTGTTGGCCGACAATAACGGGAAAGAAGGTTACTTTTCTCTCTTGTAGTGTTTGACCTATTCGGCCTTCATTTGCTAAGACCCCCAAAAGCAGAAGAAAATCTCACCTAAAATAGTATTTGGATTCTAGATTAGGGTTGCAATTACAATACATAAATTTAGACGAGCATAATCGAAAAAAGGTTTGACAAATTCAACTAGACAAAGAAAATCGCTTTACTTCGTATTTTTTGCTAGACGTAACTTATAAGTTACTTTCACACTTTCTCTTGAATCGTGTAGTTTTGAAATGTTATGTTGAAGAAAAGGTACTTTAAATGAGCACACAAAATGTTTCATATGTTCACATTTGTTTGTTTGTATTTTTTTTGTTGGTTGTTGAATTTCAAAGAATAGTTAGCTTACACGCGACTTGAATCCTTTTTCAAAAAAATTGCCTACTTTTTTTAATAGTTCAGAAATTTTAAGAAAAAGCGCGAATCAAAAGTTCTTTGCATTTCTCTAATCAAAGTTCTGGGGAGTGACTGGTCCAATGTCTAAGAATATGATTAGGGTTTCTAAACTTATATGACTTACTCTCCTTCATCAATTCTTTTATAGATTTTCTTTCATTCTCCGTTTGAGATTTGCTCTTGGTTTGCCCTTAGTTGCAGAATTACCCTTCACTTCTTTGAAAAGTAGAAAAACTTGTTCATCGCATTCAACTTCTAATGAGATCATATATGAGAAATCCCTGCTTCCGAAAAGCTCAAAATCTTGATCGTCGTTGCGCGCAGTTCAGATAATACTCTCGTAAAGATTAATTAATCTCCAAATTTAAGTACGTACAACAAATATATAGTTGGAGAAACTGTGAGATTTCTTTCCCTGCAAGCTCGGTTAAATTGTTCTACATCAGCAATTGAATCGTCTGCTGTTCTCTTCTGGGCTTCAAAAGCTTTGTCAAGGTCTCTTTAAGCAGCCTTCGTGAACCCACACGTATCCACACCTTCGTTATTGAAGGACTGAAAAAACATTTCACATGCGACCGAGCCAGCAGTTTTCTCTTAAACTCTTCAAGACCCTTTGCGAACTTCCTTTCTGTTCTGGGTCAGTCCCGTGGTGTGAAAAGCTGGCCCTTCTTCCTCCATTTTTAAAGAAGCGGTTCGTCACCTTTGAAATTGGTCGTCAAACCCTAGCTTGTGTTGGTAATAGAAACGTGAGTTTGGACTATTATAGGCTTCAAGATTTTAACCAGCGTTGGCTTTATTTGTTTGTCGAAGTTTCTGGAGTACAAAATCAGTCAGAATTCAGAATGTTAAGAAACCAAAAGAGAGACGGAATATGCTTGGAGATCAAGGGAATACATGCCTCAAAAGTCCAAATGAGATTTGAAACATTGGGGTTTCCACATAGAAAGAGATGTCCTCGAGGAAATTGTCCGACGTGAATTCTCTAGTTTTGACATGATTTGACGCGATCTAACTGGACCCAAAAGGCCAAACATGTACTTGATATGCTAGATTTGAGAGCCAAGGGGAAAAGAATGGTGAAATATGTACTTAATACACCAATCACCATGTTTCTAGCATTATTCTTTCTAAATAAGCTACCAATGCATATTCCTACTTGACTTTCGGGTGTTCTACACCTTTCAATATGCGATTGGATGGTACACTTCGGTATTAATCACCATGGGTACTATCACGAGGTCCTTGAAATTTTCGTTAATTGTTTAGTGCAATCCTGATTTTTTTTTTGTTTAATTTAGTCTTTGAACTTTTAACAATTTGCTCCATGCATCACTTTCATCAAATCGAGAGCTGGTCTTCTTTTCTAAATCTTGGTGGTGGCCCAAGTCAGCAATCATGAGACAAAATTAGTGAGATGTAACAGTAACTGGATGAAAATTAGTGAAGATATTGGGTCTCATAAAAAATTGTATGGCTTCTTGGGCCTGAATCACTTTGATCTCCCTTCCATCCACTTGGGGCTTTGCCAAGAATTAAAGCCCACTAGGCAGAGGCCGAACTTCACTTGGAAGTGTTGGAGTCACTTGAATTTTATGACCCAGAAATGGAATTTGAATTGAAGACTGGAGTGCTGATCTTCTTCTGTCGGTGTACATACTCAAAAAGAATTGAAATGGAAGAGTGGAGTATGGATTTTCTTCTGGTCATTTCTCAAGGAAGTTTCAAAAAGAAGCTCGTTGCGATTGTGCCATCCTCTTAAAGTGAAGGAGGAAGCCCTATTCTTCATCAGAGAAGCTAAAGCAGTTCAAAACAAAACCGTGTTTTCAGTGTGCTCATTCAAGCCTTAGTTAAAGAGTCCACTCAACTTGCCATTTTCTTTGAGCTTCGTCCTCGCACCATTCGGTTTTTGAATGGTCGAGACACCGGCTCGAGTCACTGATCAACAGGTTGAAGACCCATTAGACTTTCCATTGATTCTGCATCTTGCTGAACTAGTTCTTCTCGTGGTCTAAATTGTTGTTGAATATATATGCACCGAAATGGTTTCAATCAAGACGGGCTCTTGGTTTCCTGATACAGGAGCTTTCGCAGCACATGACTTCTGATGCTGGGAAGCTGAAAGAGAAAGAGGAGTGTTGTGTGCGCGACAGCAACGGAGAGCTTTGATCAGTCACACATCAGCAGCGAGAGCAGAGAGAACGAGCAGGATTTGGCCTTGAGAAATGAGGGACTAGATGGGGCAAAACAAACCTTTCTCGGCCTTTTGGCTAAGATCAAGTGTAGTATCTGTTCTTATCAGTTTAATATTTTATACGTGAACCATCGGTTCACATGATATTAAATTAATTTTTCTAGAGAAAGAGCCCATTACAGTAGCTTTCTGCTGGGGCTCTCGCGTGTTGCCTTGACGTTGCACTACTGCCTTGGCCTGGCGAACCCCACCAATTCTAGTTTAATTTTCTGTATGCAAGGGCACGATTACTCCTCAAAAAGTGACGATCAGCCTATTACCTGCTTAGTTATTGATGTAGCTATGAATCTTTGTCATGCTTGGTTTACTACTCAGAGAAATTTAATCGCTTGATACACTCAAAATAAACAACTTATTAGCATTTGATTAGAAATCCAAACATTTTAGCTCCATTTAAACCCTTCTCATAATAATTAGGGGTGTTAATAGGTCGGTTCGATTTTGCATCGATACCCTAACCAAACCGATTTAAATTTGAATGATATTTTTTTTTTTTGTAACCCGACCCGTACAGATTTGAACCGAAACGACAAGTTGGTTTGGGCTTACGGGTCTTTCCCCCTTCCTTCCTCTTTGTCCCTTCACATCCATCTGCCGCAAGTTCATAGCAACTTGCTCCAGAGTTGAGCACATCATGATGGACATTTCTCAAGGTCACAACGGGAGGTGTCAGACCATCTTCTCTGGCAACAAGGCACCTCCAGATCCGGAGAGTGTCCTCCCAATCTGGAGAGGATGAGGCTCCAGGACCGCCGATCTCGTCAAACATCTGGATGGCCATAGAGGAGAGAAATAGAACTCGAGTGTCAACAACCATGAACGAAGCTCTGGAGATCAAAACATTCATGGATGCATCGAGATTTGGATTGCCATGAAGAATTGAATGACCATGAACGACGGTTCTGATAGAGTCGATGGTGAGCTGCCCGTGTTGATCTGTAGGAGGCGCCGCTGAACATAGAGGTCCGGTGGATAGTGGTGAAAAGGGCGATGGAGGAGGCAGAGCTGCTGGTGTAGGTGAGGAGGATGGTGGCGGAGAGGGCAACAAAGGAGGCAGGAGTGCCGATGGAGAGAGGGCGCTGTTTAATGTGTTTTAGGTTGGTTCCGAAATATGATTCAAACCGAGCCAAATCGTCAAGACACCCATGTTTTTTACTTATTAATCGAACTGGAATGAGACCAGACCCAAAAAGATCTGGAAATTCGATTCGATTTGGGTCGGTTCGGGTATTTTTTCACCGCTACCCATAATGATGTTCATATTTACCATGAAATTCTCAAACCCTACACATAATACAATTTGATTGGCACATATTTAAGGATCTAATTGCTCGATTAGACAATTTTTGTTCCACGACTTCGAGTCGCTTAACTATCTGAGAAAGATCTATCATTCAAAAAATTGCCCGGTAGGATATAAACTTCTACGCCCTATCGGGCCCAAATCACTTCCGCTTGGACACACTAACCCAAAGTCAAACAGACAAGATGTGAACCAACTTCAAAACCCTAGTAATATCAATTTGGAAACTTCATTCAGTTGTAGCAGACTCAAACGTTGTGGTTTCGAGAAGAGAACTCTTGCTCCCGAAATGACTGCTGGAAAGTCAAACTTAGAATAATGAGCTATAAGTGAACTAAGAGATGACCTATCAATGAAGTTGCTGAGGAGGAATACAGTAGAATAATGACGAGCAGCACATGGCTTCTCGATTTCCAAATCATATATGGTCATCGTGTGCTCCGAGATTGAGCTGGTTTTGTCTCATAAACTACAAGTACACAACATGCATTACCAACTATGATTGAACACACGGGATCGCCTAAGTCAGAATATTCACAATTCAATTAATGTAGGAAAGAAGATTATTGTGGGCCACAAATTAGTCTAGGATGAATCATGCCTGTAAACGCAAAAAAGTTTGATTTAACGCACGACTCTTATATGTCAGAGAATTATCTAATAGTGAACTTCTAGTGGGTGCTTATGCTGTTTGAGTAAGTAAAAGATAAATTTATGCTAATTATTTTGAAGCGTTAACTCCCAGATTGATCAAGTGATGAATTGGGTATTTACAAGTCGAAAGGTATGAAGGCTTGAATTCGTTTCCTATTTTGTGCAATCATCTCACGTAAAATTAGAGAGATGCATTTGATCTGGTGCATGAATGTTATTCCAAGATAATTTGATCTTAATCCCAAAAAAGGGGAAATAATAGTAGGCATATTAAAATAAAAGATGTTAAATAGTTATTGTTATCATTATTAGGTTTTTTGGAGACCATTGCTGCCCCCAAACACAACAATTGGTGTATGCATGGAAGAAGGACCAATTTCTTTGAAAAAACGGAAAAACAAAAAGCAAGGAGAGATGAAAAAAAAGAGAATTGAAAAAAAAATAGCAAAGAATATAAAAATGATGTATTCTAATGATATTTGCTGCTTTTCACCCTTTGGCACATGTGAGATGTGACTGCTTGACTTGCAAGAGGAGCATTGTGAGCTGGTGGATGCCAGCTTCTTTTCCCTTTTATCAAACACTGAAAAGCTAGCCCAAGTTTTATAAAAAAAATTTAAAAATTATTTCTTCAATCTTTTTTAAATCAAGAACTACCTCTTAAAAAAAAATCAAACCTAAGACCCTGTTGGATCTCAGTGAGAAAGGACCACCTCACCACACTTAGGTCAAGCTTTAATTCCTCTAAATTTTTTTTGTTGAACTTTCTATTATGGGTGGGAAGATGGGATTATCTAAATTATCATAGTGATGATTCTATTCTCTCACATAGAGAAAATGAAATAATAATAATATATTAGAAGACAGAAGGAAGGTCATGTGTATATCCAGCTTGGCCATCACACTTAGCTGTGGCATGGCTGGCTTGCTCACCTTTTTGGTGTTGACTGTTTTTGAGGTGCTAAACCACATAAAACCAAAACATGTTGGGCCATTATCAATGATGTTGCAGCTTCTGTTCCTGCTAGGAGAGAGAGAGAGACCAAAGACATTTCACGTCTTTTTCTTTACATATATGCATTATCACATGAGATACTATTAAGAAATCTGTGAATCATCTCATGCCACACATATTAGATGAGTTAACACAATTTTGTGTTCGGACAGAAAAAAGAACACAATTTTGTGACCATTGCAAATCCTAGTGATAATTCCATGAAATTTCAGATTTACTTAAAGTTGGACAAAGAAAAAACACAAGAGTTGAGTGTGAAGAGAAGTGATGAAAAAGATAGATTAATAAAGAATGAAATATATTTAAAAATAATCTCAGCCAGATGGGAGATTTATGAAACTCTAGATAATTATTTTGATTTCGAATTTAGAAGGTCAGAGTACTTGTCGGTCATTTTGATTATCTCAAATTATAATTTTGTCCATTTATAGTTATGTGGGGTCATAGAGTTTTTAAATATACCATGAGTTTTTCATGAAATTTTTTTTTTGTAAAAGTTTGATGCTAAAGTGGCCATCAAATTTGTTTAATTAATAGTGTAGATGCTTCCATGACTTTTACCTTAGATTATGTTATAAATAATATTTTCAAAATCATACCAGAGATTGAATTAGATTTATAAGAGATAACGGCAGTCGAGTCGGGTTAAAATGCTCAAAACCTAACCGAAAAAAGGTGGCCAAAAATTGGATAAAAATCCGACCCAATAGCCAATTGAATCGGTCGGATCGGTCTCTATAATTCAATTTTCAAAATATCGATTAATATAAAGATTTATATCGACTCAATCTTTCACCTGGCCATGATAAACAAACCAAAAAAAATCTTATGGTAGATCCAGCCAAGACCAAATAGACAGCCCTAGTTGCATGATAAAAGAGAGAAATTGATGTTGACACTCCACCAAAAACAGGTCCACACAAGATTTCTGCTGCCGCCCATGAATGAAAAGGAAAAACGCATTTAATAATGAAAACAAAAGCCACCGTCTTTTCCGGCTTTGACTCTTCATGAAACAAAAATTTCTAGCAAAAAACCTCATGTTTCTGTAAAATTAAAATATTATTTATTTATAAAAATACTCGACAATTATTTCGAATCTAATTTCGCAAAATGAGAGATACATGATGATTTCCATTTGTCCATCAATAATTTTGCAATGCTTATCATTTATTTTAAAATTTAGGGACGAAATTTGACAGATTTTACTTTTAAGTTACTATTGAGTTTGCCTTTTTTTTTTCTTCCTTAAAGGTAGAAAAAGAGATAAATCGATTTATTCTGTCGGCTCCCAGCATCAGTTAGCATATCACGTCAATCCAATTATTCAAACCCAATGTAACTTTATGATCTTTACACGGACCTCCAATGATTGTCGGTCCAATCTCCCACTACTTAATTAATAATTAGACCATAATGAAAACTATGTTTATCTAGCTAAAATAAATAAGCAGGCATAAAGTCTATCATAATTAAAAGTGATCGCGGACAACTTCAAACTATAATCTTCTCCAGGAGTGAGATTATTCAGTAAACTATGCTAAACTTTATTGTGTTTAGAAGAAAATGTACACATTTGACATCTTGGCTTATTGTGCTATTTTTTCGGTCCTCAAACTTGTCGCATATGCAATCCGAGTCTTGAATGTAGTAATTTTTCCTTATCAAATCACTCTAAGATGGCATATCCGATGATGTCAATCAAAAGTATGATATTGGAATTATCAGTAACGGTTACTGTGATGACTAATTTTCGCCCACTAGAAGCTTCGAGAGAAATTATATAAAGATACAATTAAGCAAATCTTTAATAGTTTTTCATCTATGCTAGCTCATGTTGTTTCCATACCAGACTTTTAGCTAGCACAACAGACATGTCAGCTTCAGTCTGTCGAAATTGGAGATAGAGGGACTTAATTGGAAGAATTCTTCATTTTCGAAGACTCGATTGCAAAAGTTACAAGTTTGAGGTCCTTGTTGGAAAAAGGGTGCGGGTCCAAGGACTACATGTGCACCTTTTCCCATGTTAAATATGCACGGATTGATTTCAAACAGGGATGATCTCACCGGTAATCCCTCTACTACTTTTCCCAAGTGCACCTTTGCCATGGTCCCGAGCTCGAGATATGGCAGGTTCATGGCCACAAGCTCAAAGCTCGTGCAGTCATGGCCGTTGAGAGCTCGAGCTCGAGCTGGAGCTTCGCGGCCATGCAACCGCGAGACTCCGAATCGAGTGTCCATTGCCACGACACTCCGTATCTAGCAACTGAAATTAACATTAATCATGTTTCTGAAATCAAGCATCTTACACTGTTAATATTACCAAATAAGAAGACATTGAAACAAAATATGATTATGAATAACGCAGATAAAAAAATGAAGAGGGAAAAGAAAGGAAATAGAAAGAAAACCAAAGTGGTTGGGGAAAAGAGAGAGAGAGAGAGAGAGACTATGAGATGCTGATGCTCACAGCATCTCTGGTTGCAGCCTGCTTAAGGAAGAAGAAGGAGAAGGAGGAGCGGCAGCAGCTCCTTCCTTCACACTTCACACTGTGAAAAAGCTAAGGAAGTGTAGGCCCCACACCCCCCCAAGCCCCCATCTCTCATCACACTCATCATTGTCCTCCAATCTCTCAGCTCACTCACCTTTGCATGTGCATGACCTCCTCTCTCTCTCTCTCTCTCTTCCAGTTCAGAACCTCCATGTATCTGCAGCACCCACGTTCGTCCATGTCCTAATGCTCTTGTCTTCTTGAGAATCCCTCTCTCTCTCTCTCCCTCTCTCATTCTCTGTCTCTTGTGTGTTGTGTGTGTGTGTGGGAATGGACTCGGGAACTCGTCTTGATTATGCTGTGTTTCACCTCACCCCAACTCGG